GGGTCCATTTTTCTGAAACACTTTTGTTGGAACTTCATCTGGAAATCTGGATATTAAATGGCTGGTAAGAATAACGAAAAGCCGTGAAGTTAAATCGTTCCGGTTGCAGTCTGTGGATTCTCGAACATCCAAAGCCAAAATAGGTTGACAGTGCATTTTGTGTAGATGCTATATGGCTGGAGTATTTCACCTAGTGCTTGGCAGTCCTCCTCTATGATTGAAAAACAAAATAAGGTACGGTAGGTGTTACCTAGTAATTTTATTCCCACAAGTGCATAACAACATAACGTACATTTTATGTAGCATGAATAATTTCTTGCAACATCCGCTTGTTATTAAAATGTCATTACCTCTTCCCCGATGGAAACGCGAAAGCTTAGTTCTTGTTCATGGTGTAATGCTATAATCTATATAATCTACAGATATAAGGAACATAAAGCCGTGTACACATTTACAAACGTATATAAGTTTAAGCCACTGAATTTATTAAATACAGAGGCGAAAGATATACGTTTGATGACGTTTATTTAAGAACTAGCTGTGTCTGCGACTTCGTCCGCGAGATTTTGGGTATCCAAATTCGTTTTTGCAAGCCCCTTCATATTTATAATTGTAAGCTGTTAACCACGACGTCGGTGGCGTCCATTCCCGTCGTTCTTGCAAGTTAATCTTAAAATATTGAAATTTAGCGCCGCGTTACTTTTTAGATCATTTAAAGAATTATTCTTTCATATATATTTTTTGGGTATCTTGAACCGTTTTTGCAGCGGAAACCCATAATGATAAATAAACTTCCCAATTGTTTTCACATATCTCGCCGTATTTTCGCTTGTGTTAATCACCGGGCCATATTTTATAGCCTTCCTCGAGAAATACACTAACCAAGACGAAAAAAATTTTTTAATTCGAATTTGTTGTTCCTGAGATTAGCGCGTTCAAACATACAAACAATCAAACTCTTCAGCTTTATATATTAGTATAGAGTATAGATAAAACTAAGCAATGCTATTTGATAATAGTGTCGGGTCAGCGCAATTCTGTCCATTACACTGATCGATTCGATCTGATATTCAACACAGGTCCGACTTTACAAGTGATATTCAGGAGGCGTGGTCATTGGAAACTTACTAAACCGTTAAAGACTGTTTTATTTAAGTGACAACCTTTTTTTCTTAAAATTAACAGTACCTATAAAGCTAATTTTATTATAAGTAGAGATACGTCTAGGCACGAAGAAGCTAGTTAACACGAAATAGTCTGCACCGGTGACAAAAGCTGGCGTCGGTCCAAACTTCGACAAATAACGACGTGTTTACTCTTCATTACTCTACGCAAATACGTTGTGTGACATTTTAATAACATTGTTTAAACTGTACTGTTATTTTACATGAATTATTTACACTGGGCAATGACCACTCGTTCACGCCCGACTGCATCACTAAACATTGTTATTAATATTGATGATATTGTAGAAGAATTCAGCCATTCGAAACCTATTGGAAATTTAGAGATTATATAAATTAAAAATCGATTATAAAGTGAAAAAAATGAACATGTACCGGCATCTACAACGTTCCTTGCTGTTGCTCTAACCAATTGAGCTACCGTGTCCTTAAAAAATTAGGACCGCCTTGGGTTTCAATAGGTTAATTTATATAGTGCCATCATGTGCAAAATATCAAAGTTTTCAAATTCACAGATTAAAAATAAACAGCATAACCTATGTAAGAAATCAGGCATATATTAAACTAAGAGAAGCACAGATAGTTATATTGCATATCGTCATCTATATTATAACAACTCACTATATAGTCTACCTTTTTTACGTGAGTTAGGTTAGAGCAACAGCACGAAGTTGTCAATGACAGCAGTTGTGAATGAAGTCCCGGCAATTTTTATGATTCTGATTTTTATTTTTTATTATTAGAATTATTGTACTCACGTTATTAGCCTTAAACACATATTGCGTGCAAACATCACAATTTAAAATTACTTAGAAGAATAATAACGTACGTTCTCTCCATATAAGGGATTTCTGTAAATAATCACAATATGTAAACTTTCAAAGAAAAATTAAGGAGAAAGTAAACGGAACGTCGTGTAAAAGTTACTATGACGTAACATCAAGTAAATTATTGTTGCATGTAGTCTGTGGATAACACTTCATTTATTTTGCGGGCTCCTTGGTGTAATAGAAATGTGTGGCTTATAATAACCGGGTCGTGGGTTTGATCCCCAACGGATCCAAGATGCTTTTATTAAATATATATTTTCCATAAAACATAATCATCTTCGTTTGGAGATTTGTATTTTTAGTGGGTGGTAGGAATATCGTAATTCCATCCAGGACACGAATCTCTGTCTACAGATGAAAAGGCCATAAAATTTAATCGCATTTAGGTTTCCGTTTGTGAATTTCCGAATATATTCAAAGTCAAAACAGTTCGTAAGCTCATCTTGTTTAGCTGTCCACATCCATCATAAAAAATGCCAGCATAATATATTATTTACTATATTGAGGAGACAAGTTATCTCGCCCTTTTGATTTGTAAGACATTTAAATATGGCAAGACGAACGAGGTTTATCGTCATTTGTTATTAGTTGTGACGTCAAGCAATAATGCAACAAAAAGGCCAATTTTCTAATAATGCAACAACCATATAGGTTTTGGATGACGTCATTGGTTGTTACGATTTTTAAAAAGGATGTCCTAGTTGTATATAGATTTTTATGTATTTTAGTTCAACTTCTTGTCCTTTAGCATGGCGAATGAATTGTATTCTTTTAAACCTCATAACTACGATTAAGTAATAAATTAACAGAGTTAAAGAACATGTAGTTTATTAATAAACTGACATTGACGTATTTGTTTCGCAAAATGGCACTCTTATATGTATAATATCTACCATATATTTTTTGATACAGATCTTAAATAAAACTTCATCGCTGACCTTTTACAGACCTCAGATTACAGACTGACCATAAATTATTATTGTAACTTCTAAGTGCTATAATTTTCGACACGTCATTATCGAAAGTTATAGCTTGTAACATCGTATGGAATTTTATTTTACTTGTACATCGTAACAACTATGTTTTACTAGCAGTGGCCGCGACTTCATCCTCGTGAAATAGTGAATTGGAGTAGAATTTTTAATAGTTAAGACAGTTTATTAATTTATGTAAGGGCGCATTTAAGGCAGCCAATCTATGGAAAGTGCTCCTTTGCCGCAACACTTTCACCTCTCATCACTCCTCCTCTAACTCCCACTCACATTCCTACACTAACTCCCACTCCCACTCCATTTCCCAAAAAGACAAAGAAGAAAGTTTCATTGTTCTAGCTTCAAAAACCACGAACTTCAATACAAACTTTCATCCCCCTTTTAACTCCTTACAACCCCCTTTTCGCAATAAAAAGTAGCCTATGTCCTTTCTCAGGGTCTAGACCATCTGTATACTAAATTTCATTAAAAATCGTTCAGTACTTTGGGTGTGAAAGAGTAACAGACAGACAGAGTTACTTTCGCATTTATAATATTAGTAAGGATAACGTTATAAACATTTTGTAAGAGATACATGTAACTGTTGCTTCTAGATAACTTAACTTATACTTAAGCTACATAACATAATTTTGCAGTTGTGCTAACATTTGTCTTTTATCTCTTTTTAATAAACACAGGCAATGATAAGAAGATATGTGTATGTGTAACACAACAACCAAAAATTAAATAAAACACTTTAACGGTTTAAAACGCAATATATATTGGTTAAACGTATTTGAAAATTGTTTTAACTATGGCCCGACGTTTCGTATGCGTTGCAGCAGCCTAGGCTGTGTGAGGAGTGCAGAGGTCTCCCCATGACCATGGCAGCTGCAAAGCATCTGAAACATCGTATCTATTTACTAGTAGACATAAGACACTTATGTATTTACCTTCTTTTATATATAATAGCCACCAGAATCAATTTCATTCTACAGGGCAATTGTATATCGTATTTCATTTTAGTGAGAATCACCCCTCAACTTAATATTGTCATTATAATAGAAAAGCCGTTGATAAGAAGACTCACTTTAATAAATGTTCGTGCATTGAAATTGGGGTACACGACCTTGATAACGTGCGTGCATATTTTTTGCGGTGCTCCAGCGAAACGTTGCAACTTCACTATTAAGTATTACAACAAGTTAGTTGGAGTAACTCTACTCTAGAGTCTTGGAGATTAGGACTCCTTTCAAATGCCGTAGGAAAATAATTATGGCTTATATTATTCCCTTCAATTAGTTTTAAAAGCATTTCACTCAAACGAACGTAGTGATGTTGAGCACAGGTCTCCCATCTTATATAACAGTAGACAGACCTGAGATCCCACCATGCTGCTTCGGTGTAGGTTCGTGGGCTTACTACCACTAAAAAAAGGAACCGAAGCTCGTATGAGCGGGGGGAGCCTTCCAATCGCTAAGTCCAGCCTGGTACTAAAAGTCCTAGTACCAGGAATATTTAACCTGACCCAGTCTTTTGTTGCCGAATGTAGAAAAACAAACATTAACAATTCAAATTTTTTTACAAATAGATCAATTATTAATTAAATTAAATACAATATAAGTTAATAATATTCCGAAAAAATTGGCATATGCCAATGACCACTTCCAGTGCAATAAGAGCAAATCACCAAAAAAGATTCAAACAGGTTAAAAAGTTATGTCGTCACAAATCAAGAATCAAGACGACAGCCCCTTCGCACACAAAGAGAGCCTCAACTTAAATCGCCTAAACTAAACTAGTATTAATAATTATTTTTCAAGCATTATTATACATGGATACCTGTTTAAGTTTATTTATTAGACGTAAATCTCTTTCGATTGGTGATTGTTTTTAAAATCACGCTCAAGGCAAGTTATAAATAAATAATTGTTTAATCAAAATCTTGCTATGACGTTTAACGTAAAATTTTAAATATAGAACAACTTTTATATTATCACATAAGACGAAGAAGAATGAGATTCACTCGATGGAAGGTAAATAGCTCCACCATTTAAAAACAAATTTTTAGGTACCTAAGCAGGTATATTCGGAACTTCTGTGGGTTGTTATATTTTGATGTTTTTACATTTGATGATATAATTTAATATATGTATATTGGTTTCATATTCTTACAACCCCTTTTTGGCAAGACCAGTAAAAACGTTTATGTTTATTATTGGAATAATATTATCTAACACAGAGAAAATATTATAATGTAAAAATTGATAGTGTGTAGTAGGGCTTTGGCCGACTTGGCAAAAGTTGCCAGAGAGCGACGCGTCGGGGGATCGGCGTGCGCGCCGTCAGTCAGCCACCGCACACCGCCGTGTGCGCATATCACGTCGCGTTCTCACCTGACCGCATCGAATCCAACACCGTTATCGTCCTAAATGAGAAGCTAATGGACGTACGAGGTAGACAGTGCATGTTTGTGTTGATGTGAACTTGCGTGAGGAGTGCAGTGTTGTGTTAATGCCGGAATGGAGGAGGTCCGGATCTCGGATTGGCCGGAACCTCCTGGCTCTCATGCATGGCTGCCCGCTTATGGCTTCCAGCATGAATTGTTGGAGAAAGACGATTATTTCGCCACCGGTGAGTGTCGCTTTGGCAATGCATTCTTTGTGACTGTGTGTTGTGTTGATTGCAAGGGAGCAGTTTTAACTGAGTCAGTGACTTATTTGACATTAAAGCGCAAATAATGTATTTTTTCTTAAATCTTATATTACTTTCTCAGAATAGACTCCCTTCATAACAAGGGACTTCATTCTTAACTGATTAAGTTAACATTTTCACCATAACTGCTTCCCATATGATATTTTTCAAATTCATTTGTATCTGTAAACACAGCTTTCTAATTTTTACTACAAGCAACACCACGTAACGATTTTTTTAATTAAAGATAATGCAATTTTGTTCTAATTTGAAAATCTGCATGAAAGCAAGTTTATTGTATTGAGTCGTTCCGTTTTGCAATGTTTTTGTTCGCTGAATCTGATCTCACTGTATTGTTTTGTTGGCTAATTACTGTATATTTTATACTAAGTATAGTGTTGTAACTCGTAACAATAGCAAAGTACATACCGCATATATCAATATGAGGCTGCTAGAGGCAGAGTAGGCTAACTTCAATTTTATGTCTTGAGTTATTTATATTTTCATAGTCTAAAAATGATCATCTACAATAGCCCAGTAACCGAAAAGTGTTAACATACCTATTTCTTACAAAAATAATGGTACAAATTCATTTTCGCCTAAGTTAGGCCTAGGTAATTGCGCATTTTTTTTTTTGAAAACATGTATTTTATTAATAGGCCACTCTGGCTCTAGCACGATTTAAACTTAGGTTTTATACACATTGATTTCTTATTGCTGTAAGTATTTAATTACTGTGTAAACTCTATGTAACGTGACTAGATTTAACGACTCTCAAAACCGTCGAAATCAATTGACTTTGGTTTGGCAAAAGCGTTCAAAAAAGCTGTTTTTATGTGCATAAATACCTATATCTAATCTGAAAGAAACTTTTACTTTTTATAATTCAGATTTTCTCTCCATCAATGACATCTGTACGATGCCACAAAATGGTGTCATGTATAGGTATAGAGTTTGCACTGTACTTATTGTTAACTGGCTAAAAACTACAATATTAAGTATATAAACTGTTGCTATGTTTAAGAAATAAGAATCACGAAATAGGAAGTCACGGTAATTAATTTATGACGTCATATTTATTTTTTTCGAAGTCTGTCACAATTTTTTGGGATATTTTTGATCTTAAATCTATCAATGAGGAGTTTTTTGGTTACTCCAGTAGGATAACATACTTTTAAAATACAATAAATATGTATCTAGGAAACTGCACTTAAACTAAACATGGTACATAGAAAAATAAAGAAAAAATTCTGGGAATCCATAGGAATTCAATTAATACGATAAGTAGAGCTGGACTGTTTCATCATCCTTTAAGAACCTCATTCTTAACCTCGTTTGTCATAAAAAATCGTATTGTAATGTAATACGATTAATATAAACGTTAAACTTGTACAACGTAGAGGGGCAATTCTTAACCAAGAGACATAAGTCGCAAATTATGTCAGATTTGTAATTAGTGACAAATGTTTGTTTTCACGTAAGTAAAAATTGCCCGTAGTACCGTTCTTGACCTCTTTCTTTTATCTATCAGTCAGTTTTATTTCAAACTACCTGGTTCCAAAATCGCTGTTTTGTTGTTTGCAGGTTTAATATTAGTATGTCATATAATAATGCATTAATTTCGACCGCCATTCTTACAAAAAGTTGCGGATATTTTTTTAGTTTATTCAAAGAGGAATCATTCTCTCATACATATATGTTTTGTTTTTCGCTAGCGCGCAACGGATGCCTTTAAAAATGAATAATATTCTCAGTTTTTCCACATTTTTAGATAGTATAAGATATAAACATATAGCCTAAAGCCTTCCTCGATAAATGCTCTAACCAACACATTATCTTTTCGTACCAGTACTTGCTGCGGTTAACACCCGAACAAATAAAAAAAAATGCTGTATAATATTAGTATTGCAACCTCTCTTATTTCAGATGAGACTTAGCCCTTACAGAACTAAAATCCTACCGAAATAACTTACTGGATAGTTCTCCTAACAACTATGTCTTGGGTTCTAGATAGTTAAATGTCGGATATTGCAAAACGATTCTAAGCGATGTAGCACATTTATCTACCTACACGTTTCATCGCTGCAAAGGCGCAATCCACCTTAATACATAAAAGACTACCTAACGGTATCTTGCCGTGTTTTCTCTAATAAACTCGTACTAAACGTAGATCTTTCACTTTGTACTGTTGACGTAGAAACAGTCTCATTTTATACTCGCTCATATCCAGACTGTTCTAAATAAAGAATAATATTGCCGCCACTAATATATGTCATAATTATAATTTTTTAAGTTCTTTACATCTTTTCCACAATATTTATATGTTTTGGTACTACTTGTTATCTGATAGGGACAGACTGAAAATCAGCGCTTAGCAAGCCTTGCTGAGCACATGCTGAGACTTGATGCCTTTTAGCACAAAGTTGAAATTGTACTTTTTTTTGTATTCTTATAATTGTAAGGTTTCTTTTTTATTACTTATTTTAATTGTAAATTATGTACTTTGTGATAATAAACGGATTATTTATTTATTTATTTTATATTAACGGTCTTTTAAACTTTCAAACTCTACGTTTCATGGCTATTTAAGTTCGGTCTTTTAGCGGCTAAATATAATATTTATCGATGACAATAAAATATCCATATTGTCTGTTTTTGACGTGAATAGTACACATGTAATTAAAACTCTTTAACGGTTTAAAACGCGATAAGTATTCATTAAACTTATTTGTAAAATATTTTAACTCCGGCCCGACGTTTCGGATGCTTAGCAGTAAGTACGTTTTCGCGGTCACGGGGAGAGTGCCCGCGAATATATAAATCGCGTTTTAAACCTTTATAGTCGTTTTATTTCCTTGCGTACTAATCGCGGAAGTATTTTATGTTAATTTCACACTTAATTTAACTACTGCTGCATGATAAATAATGTACAAAGAGTCACATTAAAATGATACCATTTTATTAGCGTGCGAATGTTATCAACGAAGTCTTATCAACGTGTGTTTGCAATTGAAATGCCAAGACTAAAAACACGTCGGGCTAACTATAAAAACTTTCCAATTAACTGTTTTATAAGGTAATTAAAAAGAAGGTCATAGTCAAGGACTAAATTATACGAGTAATCTCAGTCATTAACAGCTAATTAAACAACTTAGAGCAAATAAATTTCACCTTGATCCGGGAGGTGACCAAATGTTATCTCATATTTTAGCAAACAAACGTCAAAGATAAGGAATGTTGCCACATGGAAAAGTTATTTTGGGTATAATATTAAGTATTTATTTTTGCAAACAACCTTTTCAGTTTTATAAACTACAGCAGTTACACACGACGTCGTCTGTGTCCCATCTTTCTTGCGAGGACCTAATCTTAAAATATAGACATATACTGTCGCGGACATTGTTGATTGGATTCGGATGATTAATTTCTGTTCTTTTAGATTTCCCTCTGTTCCTACACAACTTTCTATTTTTTCGGTAAATGGTCCAACCAAAACAAAACGAATAATTAATTATATTCGAAACGGTAGTTCCTAAAACTGGCGAGTTCAAAAAACAAACAAAAAAATCTTTTGGCATATATTACTACAGAATATACGTACACTTATAGTAGTACCTACTTATCTAAGCTGTTATACGTATTGTCAAAGGAGGTTTTTACTTGACTTATTTTTAAATGCTTGTAGCCGGTGTGTAATAACAGATAAGATATTTTGCTGTCATTATAAAGCCTTAAACCGCTTCTTTGACTTAAAGGTTTTACGTTACGTAACGCAATACGTAGAACGCGCGGGGGTTCTTGAGTGCAAATCCTGGGAACAAATCAATAGTTTTAAAATGGTAGGCCACAGAATGCTACACAATTAATTAACTTAATAAATTTTTCTTATTCGAATTTCAAAACAAACAGATTTCATCGAATCTGTATTAACAAAATAATATTTGCATAGTCTATATGGCATGTATTTTGTACAGGAGTTTTTGTTGGGACAGATAAAAAACCGATTCAATGAAAGCCGATGCAGGTTGGTATGCGACTATTCGATTTACCCACAGATAACGAATGACCTTATACCGTGGACTGGTCTGACAGCATGCTTCCCAACTCCGGAATTCATAACTTTGTTAGTTTCTATATCACCTTCGAGACTGCGTTTGCGACTGAATGGCTTATTCATTTATTTGCATCCCATACTTACATCCACTTACGCTTCAACATTAATTAAGTTTTTAAAATTATCAAGAAGATTTCTTGTAAAAAAATCAATTACATAATTAACAATCTTTTCTTTTTCTTATTTACTGATACTTATAATATACGAATAAAAAAAACTAAATTACATGCTGTTTTTTTTACGCTTAAAAAAATATTTTGGTTTAAAATTATTTTTCCGAGAATTCACTTAACGAGAAATTTAGGAAAATTCGTTTGTTACGTCTTCATAAAAATGGGTATTCAGGAAGACATCGTTTTTTAGCAATACATTTTTGTAAGCTTGTTGTTTTTGCTAAGTATTCGAACCATCGGATCGCATTTAAACATAAATTAAAATGTAATTATATTCCGCATTTTAAACCGTTTAATTCGATGTTTTCTGACGTTAAAATGGTATGTAAAGAAAAATCATTTATTTAAATGTTGCTCACAAAAATAAAAACTATGAACTAAGATTAACCTAATAAAAAAAACACTTATAATACAAGGCTTCACAAAATAACTATACCAACTCCTAAAACAGGAGCCACTCAGCATAATGTTACAAACACACTTGTGTTGAAACTCTGAATTTCAGTGGCCCCTGGCGCCACCACTTCTGGACAAACAATATGCGTTTAAAATTACCTTAAATTAATAAATAATGAAAATTAACAACTCATGCGCTACTACAAGTGCTACTCTACACCAAACACACGTACATTTAAGGTAACACAATATTTTATTTTGATCACAAACAAAAAACAATGTTAATATTTAGTTGATAGAATGTCGTTTCCTTAATGTATTTTTGCAATTTATCCCTTAATTTATCGGTAAATATTAATTTACC